TTCATGATTGTAATCAATCACATCTTAATGGTCGTTATTATTATACTAATCTAAATGGTGCCATTAGTACTGACCATGGAGTTCATTGGCATACCTGGAAAGGTGACAATTATTCTCTGAAGTTTTCTGAGATGAAAACACGTCGTAACAATTAACAAATACTGATAACTCTCTCTCTCTGTGCATGCAAGATTAATATTTAATAAAATTACTTTATTAATTTTAGACATACTGCACAGTTATTTTTTGAGTAGTGTTTTTGCTAAAATAAATATTTTAAAAACATTTTAATCCGTTTAATTGGTGACTAATACAGTATAACCAGTGACTAAGTATTTTGAAAATTAATTCTGAAATAATAATAGCAATGAAAATGAAGCTCACATTAGGTGGTATACTACAGGATAATATGTACATGCATGTGCATCTAACTGTAATGTGTAATGTATGTACTGCATGTACATACAAGTACATGTGTAATGTAAATACCAGCAGTAGAAGTCAACTGACTGGTGTAGGCAATTATGCATAGCTATAATTCAGCAGTTTAAAAATGATGATTTCATGTATTGCAAAGCTAAAATTTAAATAAAATTGGTAATTTTGGAGGGGGAAACTTGGGAAAATTTGATGTTTTGTTAACTGCTTGCCAAAATAGTTCAATAGCACGTGCCAATCATCAAAAATTTTGCAAAATTTTTTCTCCTTCTGCTATACAGTAAATTGACCTTGTGGCCCACAAGATTCTATCATAATCATAAGCTATGTTTCAGGCAAAAGCATAATGTCATGTAAGTAATTACAAGTTATAATAAACTAGTTACTCCTACTCACTCATGAGAATGTCACAGAAATTACAGGAAATAACTACAGTATGTAATAATAATAATAACAAATAAAAAATTTTATCAATTTAATAGTAGTGCAACAACAGAGGTTGCAGCAGATTGCAAAATACTGTCCCAAGCTACAGTCATGGCTTCACTAATATTCTTATGGTTAGTGTTGTCAGTGTATAGTACTGGGACTGAAGGATCTTATCATATATCTACTGATTGCACTAATAATGGATCATATCAACATGGTGGACTAGGAATGTATCTAACAGTATGCTGTAATATTAGTAACTTAGGACAGTCTGTTACTATCAGAGAACCTGGTATTAATAAATACACGTATATTTTCTGTCCTAAAGTAATACCAAAGTCCTGTCCTAAGGAACTACAAAAGTCAACAAAAGGTATGGACTGTAATTATATAAGTCTTGGTAGAGTGCACACACAAGAGTTAGTTATCATGAAATAGGTGACTGTTACATGTAGGTATAATTTATAGCATGTCAATACATTATCTTGTTAGTATAAATTGCTTTTGTGCTTTTTCTAACTCTCACAAAACACTCATACCACACAATAACTATTATATTCCTCTATGCA